TCAAAATGAAGAGAAACAGCTGTAAACATCCTTTGAAAATCGGAACATGGAATGTATGAAGTATGAATCTGGGAAAATTGGAAGTTGTCAAAAATGAAATGGAACTCATAAACATCAGTATCTTAGGCATTAGTGAGCTGAAATGGACTAGTATTGGCCATTTTGGATCTGAAAACTACATGGTTTACTATGCCGGGAATGACAAATTGAAGAGGAATGGTGTTGCATGCATCGTCAAAAAGAACATATCCAGATCAGTCATGAGGTACAATGCTGTCTATGATAGGATAATATCCATGTTCCTACAGAGAAGCCCAGTTAATACCACTATTATTCAAATTTACGCACCAACCATTAAAGCCAGTGAGGATGAAATAGAAAAATTCTAGCAACTTCTTCAATCTGAAATTGATCAAACATGAAATCAAGAAGTATTGACCATTACTGGTGATTGGAACGCAAAGGTTGGGAAGCAAAGAGTTAGAAAATATGGCCTTGGTGATAGAAATGATGCTGGAGAACGCATGATAGAATTCTGAAAAATCAATTATTTGTTCATTTCAAATACATTCTTTAAACAGCATACAGACAACTATACACTTGGACCTCACCAGATGGAATACATGGAAATCAAATTGACTACATCTGAATAAAGAGATGATGGAAAAGCTCCATATCATCAGTGAAAACAAGGCCAGGGGCAGACTGTGGAACAGACCATTTATTACTCACATGTAAATTCAAACTAAAGATGAAGACAATGAAAACAAGTCCATGAGAGCCAAAATATGACCTTGAATATACCCCACCTGAATTTAGAGGTTATCTGAAGAACACATTTGATACATTAAACACTAAAAACCGAAGACCAGAGGAGTTGTGGGATGACATCAAGAGCATCATACAGGAAGAAAGCAAAAAGTCATTGAGAAGACAAGAAAGAAGGAAAAGGTCAAAATGAATGTCAGAAGAGACACTGAGAAGAGTATCTTTTTCCCACTCTTAATTTCCAAGAGGAGGAATTCTCCTTAGCCACACCCCTGACCACTGGCCACCTTTACTCACTCTGCTCCCAGGAAGTCGGACACATTGACTTAGTCAGTGACTTTGGGAAGACCTGCCATATACGCTGAGTTTGGCTCTGTTCTTTCTGGGAGTGAGTGTGATGACAAGAATCTTATCTAGGCAGGCCCTAGGCTGGTCCTGCTGTGCCTCATTCTGGGGGCTGCAGTTAACAAGCCCACTTGCTAGCCGACTCAAAGCTGTGTCCTGTAACTTGGCCTTACTCAACAGTAACAATAATAATGTTGAGCTTCATAGCTACTCTTTTTTTTTTTTTTTTTTCCCTCTCCACTCTGAGTCAACATTTTCAGAACCTAAGCATGGATGAGGTCTTTTATTTATTGGGGGCTCCCTAAGAGAGCCCAATACTGCTCATCATTTAAATATTCTAAAATACATTCTTTATTCTTAAACAAAGCTCGAAGATTTAATATAGGTTTTAGGCATTCATAAGAAAGATATTCCTTGTAACACTCATGAATGAAAATGGAAGCGGAAGAAAGTAGAGGAAGTAGGAAGTATAATTAAACTTTAAGGTTAGTTCTTTTTTTTCCCAAAAGGACTCACAATGTGAAAATACTGTGATTTCCCAGGGAAGATGAATTTTGCAGGTTTCAGTGGTATTTATCAAGTTGTATTTAATCTGTACCAAGCTGATGAAGTAAGTACTCAGTGTAATGATAATGACCGAAACTCACTTTAGCAAATACTGCTTTTGAGGTAAAGACTTGGCCTCATAACGTACAGCTATCTACAACTATGATCACCATCTGATTCAAAAAATTAAAGTCAAGGCTTTTCTTGTCTTATAGGTTGAAACTAAAATTGACTTTGATTTGGCACCAGATTCCTTTGATGATCAGTACCAAGGCTGCAGCCAGCAGGTGATAGAGGCGCTAAAACAAGGGAATTATTTCACAAAAGAACTGGAAGACCACAGGAATTACTCCAGTGCCTGGCAGAAAGCTTACTTAACTTGGTTGAACCAACATAAAGCTCTCCCCAGCAACATGACTACTGCACATGCTGTGGCCATTTTGGTTTATACTTTGAACAAAAATGTTCGCTCGGATTTCACTAAAGCCATGGCCAGCGCTGGCAAATCTCCCCGACAGTACCATCATTCGTTCCACTTCAAATATCTACATTACTACCTGACCTCAGCAATTCAGCTGCTGAGGAAAGAAATCGTCTTGAAGAATGCCAATCTGTGTTATGAGGTGTATCACCGATCCACAGATATCTCCTTTAAACCCCACCCAGGTGCCATCATTCGATTTGGACAGTTTCTCTCCACTTCCCTCCTACGGGAAGAAGCACAGACATTTGGGGACCACACAGTGTTTAACATATCTACCTGTCTGGGTGCATCTGTGGAAAACTTTTCCCTCAAGAAGGAGATCCTGATCCCACCCTATGAGTTGTTTGAAGTCGTAAACGTGAGCCACGGAAGAGGAAATTGGTTGCAATTGCAGTCAGCTGGAAATCTAAGCACATATAACTGCCAGCTGCTAAAAGGTATTCATGATTTAAATGGATTCAGCTCTTATCAGTATCACAAACCACTCCTGTAAGAAAGCTGCATTACTGAGAGGAGTTGGGGAGGAGCAAAAGGCCCAAAATTAAGCTTTAGTGACAGAATTAACAGATCAGAAAAACTCACTTTATTTCTTTGTTTCCCTCTTGTTTCTCCTCGACTACCACTAGGAAAAGGAGCTCTGATAGTATAGTGGTTATGAATCAGGCTGCTAACCTCAGGGTCAGCAGTTTGAAACTACCAGCTGTTCCTCAGGAGAAAGATGAGGCTTTCTGCTTCCATAAAGATTTACAGCCTCGGAAACGCTCGGAATCTTACTCTATGGCACAACACCACCACTAGCGAAGTAAACAAAATGTTTTGGCAATGACACTGGTGGTGGTAGTAGTGGTTGCGTGCTATTGAGTTGGTTCTGATTCGTAATGAAACTCTGTACAGGGTTTCCAAGACTGCAAATCTTTGCGGCAGCAGAAAGCTGACCTTTCAGTTAGCAACCCACTACACTACCAGGGTTCCTTTGACAATGACACTGTACGTGGGAATTTTAGAAAAAGATAGTAAGTCTCTACTGGAAAAAACTTAAAAAGCATAAAATAGAGCATTGCTGCCTTCTTCCTCATCTTTTGCCATGGTCATCTCAGGCTAAAGAATACAGAAAACAAAGTAGGAATCAAGGTGTACTCATTCATTTTATATTTAATTGTTATCTATGTTCCTGAAGATATCACAATCACGGGAGAATTTTTTTTTTTTAGGTAAACAGACAAGATCAGCTTTACTTTCAACCAATCATACATTTGTTTCATCTTAATGATTATTCTTCCTTCCCTATAACATCCTGCTTCCACCCTGTTCCTTATCGTCTATATTTTATTTTTCACAAATGACCAAAGCAAAAATGTTTGATGTACACATACAGAATAAAAATATACATATATTCATTCAAAAATTCTCCTGCCCATCGGCACACATTCTTTCTCAGTCCATGGGCCTAGAGTCCTCAACTGCTCTATCTCTCTATGCCATCGCCTCTGCCACCATCTCTGGTGTCATCCCTTATCTGGGTAGGATCTCATGGTCTTCCTTCTTGCTGGTCATGGGATTGTCTGTTTCTGAAATGAAAGATTAACTACTCCCCACTTTTATTTATACATCTTCAACAGTTACAGTTGTGACTATCGTAATTATTCCTGCTAACACTCCTATTTGAATCATAAAATCCTATCACCATCATCCTCCACCCCCTTTCTCCAGATCCATCTAGAAAAAAGGGAAACTCTTTAGTGGGGATTCTACCTTACCCGCCTCATTCTGAAACTAAGCACACTCATGGAAGTTTGTAAACCAATCACTTCATTTCTTTATTACTCCCCCACCATTTTTGATAGCCAATGTCTAGATTGTCCATCCCTATCAAACCAGTATAATGAGGAAACAAGCTTGATCCATGCTATGAGGAATCCTTCCATTTTGCTTGGAATTTTGAGAACTGCATCCATCAGCAAAGGTCCAGTTCATCAAATTGTAGCAGTGTATGACTGCTCACAGTATCAAATTTCTCTATTTCATCTGGTCGAGTTCTGGTCAGCTAGCCATCCAAGCTAGGTCACATGGATACTATCTACAAGTTCAGGAGTTCACGTATGCCTTCCCACACTTCAGACCAGCTGGTTGCTTCACTCTCAGCTCTAGCCCCTAGTGGCTTGATCAGTGTCCATGGGTTCAGGAGTTCAACCTCTCCCTAAACTTCATATTAGCCAGCCCTTCCTCTTCTCTGTCTCATCTCAAGGTCAACAGGTGTCAATAGAACATGGCCAACTTCAGCCCATGTCTTCCTTGCTACATTTTCCTCACTTCCACTCACAAGCAGACCAGGGTGGTCACCAGGGAGCATGCTGCTTGTGGGTTCCCTTTGAGTTTCAGTCTTAGAAGGGGGTTTTCCCCGATGGCCCAACTTTTCTTGCCTTGATGGCTCCAAGGCAAACAGCTTGCTTGATATTCTAACATCTAAACAGTCTGCTTTTCCCTCTGCTGGTCTTTCTTTCAAAAAGTAATCCCTGTTCTTCTAGCCATTCCGGGTTGATCTGCCTGACTTTTCAGGTGAATCCCAGGAGAATTTTTAAAGAAAAATGGAAACATGAATAAATATCTACACTCAAAAGTAGTGAGTGCTACAGCAGATGTTTAAGCAATAGGTTGTGGCTGCTTAGTACCAGAAGCTACATATTCTCTCTGGAGAAACTGAGGAAGACTTCATAGTAAGAACCATATGGCTTGAAGTGGGGTTTGAGGCTCTCAGTGAAAGGAGAAGAAAAGTCATTCCAGACAACAGCTAAATCATAGGGATTTCAAATAGGTTAGGACTTTTGGTGTAGCACTATAGGATAAGTACCGGACTGCTAACCATGAGGTCAGTGGTTCTTTCCCTCCTTGGAAACCCTATAGGGAGTCACTATGAGTTGGAACCTACTCAGCAGCACTTAACAACAACAGCAAGTATCGCCTAGGAGTCTCTGAAATTTTGGGTGGCTGGATGTAGGATATGTGAAAGAGAGAAAGAGAGAATAGGAGTAGAAAGAAAGTAGGGTGTGATCAGGACTGGAGAGTTGTGATGGGGCCAAATTGTAAAGGATCTTGAATTGAAACATTATCCTGTCAGTCACGAGAAGTCATTAAAAGCTTTCCAGGAGTAGATTAATATTCTAGAAAGAACTCTGGTGATGTGTTGATGTGCACTAAAGCAGGAGAATTTAGAGCTATCACAGTACAGAACAATGACTAGGCTTGCTTTTTAGAAAGCCATATGACTGATTTTATCTTTACCCTTTTATGTGCCACCTACAGTCATTTCAGGAGTGCTGGTGTGGCATTGGATTGCTAATCACTAGGTTGGTGATTCAAACCCCTTAGTCACTCCCAGGAAACCCTATACAGGGTTGCTATGAGTCAGAACCAATTCAATGGCCCTTAACAGCAAGTCATTTCACAGAACAATAGTTCTGTAGCAAATGCTGTGCTCTGTTTGTTTCAGAAGAAAGAAGATCATCTTTCTACATGTTTCTCATTCACACAGTTCACTGCAACCCAGAGCAAAAGAAGTAAACATCTTTGTCTGTTTTTCTCATTCTTCCAGGAAACCAGCTACAGGGTCCTCCTTTTAAATATCTCTGGCTCTGTCTCCACTCTAACATGATTGCTGCTACTCATAATTCAGGATTGGCATTTCTCAACATTTCAGGGCTGTAGTGCTGCAAAAAAACCTTAAATTGGCATGGCCTGCCCATCCTGGTTGATCTGTAAATACAGACTCAGGGAAAGGTCAATTATCAAATATCCCCTTCCTGTCTTAGCAACATGGAAACAACATACATGACCTGAGATAAGTGTTGGTACAGGATGAAAAAAAATAACAGCAGAATATGAAGAACGCAGGGAGATGTTGATAATAAATGAACAAATGGATAGCAAGGTTCCAGAATTCTTGGGAAATACACCAGACTTGGAAACGATTTCTTCAAAATAGCGTTTCTACCAATTTAATGAGCACAGTCAAATGTATTAAGTTTAAAATCTTAGAACATTTATGGCATGGAGTGAGAAATTGAGGAAGGAATAAACTGTTACCCATGTTTTGCCACCCTATAAGTCTCAATGAAAAATATTTGGGTTTTTCCCCAAAATTAATGACCTTTGCTTTTCCAGGGGTGAAATTAGCTAGTTTTGAGTAAAGATTTAGATCAATAAACAGCATGTTATTTGACTTGGGAAGTTTGGTTAGTCTTGGTTAGATATCACAAAACACACTTAAAAGAATCAATGTGTTTGTATTATTCTGTCAGCTCTTGGTGAACAGGAATTTGACAAATAATATTTAAGAGGTTAGCATGGAATCTAGACAGTTCGACCCCACACCCACCCTATTGAATACAAATTCAACCTGGACCACTTATTAGCTATGCATTCTTGGTCAAGTTATCTAATGTCTTTAAGTGTCTTCATCTATGTAAGGGACATCATAATAGAATGTCATAGGTTTGTTCTTGAAGATTAAATAAGATACTACCTTATGGATACATTTCCTAACATAAAATAGGAATCCTGGTGTGGCACTGTAAGATAAGTACTGGAATGCGAACCACAAAGTTGGCAGTTCAAACCCACCAGCTGTTCTCTGAAACTCTGTACAGGGTGGCTATGAATCAGAATCAACTTGACTGCACTTAACAACAACATAAAATAAATGAAGAAAACGTATTATTATTGTTCGTTGACGTCAAGTCATTTCCAACTCATGATGACCCCGTGTGCAGAGTAGAACTGCTCCATAGGATTTTCAAGGTTGTGACTTTTGAAAGCAAATCACCAGACCTATTTCCCAATGCACTTCTTGGTGGGTTCAAACTGCAGAGACTCTTAACTAAAAGTTAACTATTATTATTGACTTTAGTTCCCTGGCACACAGAGAACCCAATACAAGTAGTCCCTGACTCACAATGTGGTTCTACTCCAATGACTCAGTCATAAGTCAATTCTGACCTCATATTCTTTAGCTCTCATTATTATTGCCATTTATTAGCACTATCTTTATAAATCTAGTCTTTGTCTTTGGGATTTAAAAACATTAAATATAAACTTAAACATATATTTTAATACATTGTTGCTATTGCTAAGTACCACCAAGTCAATTCCAACTCATAGGGACACCGTGTAGGGTTTCCAAGGAGTGGCTGGTGGATTTGAACCTCTGACCTTGAGGTTAGCAGTTCAGTGCTTATCCTTCATTGTCATATTTTAATATGTATATACTTAAAAATACACAAATCATCAGATTTTATTCTGACAATAAAGAAGAGTTGGATGGTGTTGGCATTTTGTCAGTTGCATAAATAGGTCTACTTATAGACGGTTCGGGATCACCTGGAATATCCCTGGGAAAGAGAACACAGTTTCGAATCAGAAAACTAGTGAGAGTTATCTGTGT